AGGAATGCCATTGTGTAGATTAATTTGCAAAGGACAAAAAGGAAAAGAACAGAAATATCAACACGCAAGCCTTATATTTACCCTTTATTTATCTCCATTTGAGCAAATGGGGACACGGTTTCCTATTCTTTATAATAAAATGTGTAAAAGACATTGGTTGGCTCCATTGTTTGCTTTTTTTAGTGTGCATACTTGTGGTATCTTCACATTTTCATTCTAAATAGAAAAAACATTCAGAAGTTTAGACCACTGATAAAGGAGCATAATGACAAAAGAACAGCTATGCTGGATCAGACCAATCCAGCATCCTGTTTCACAACTTAGTCACCACTAGATGCTCCCAGAAGGCATACAAAGAGCACACCTAAACCTCTGCCCGTGGTTGCTTCCCAGCACTGGTATTTAGGAGGTAACTGCTTCTCAATATAGAGATTCCATTTAGTCATTGTGGCCAATAGCCATTGTGATGGACCTATCCTCTATGAATTGATTGGCTAATCAGTTTTTAAAGCCAAACAAACTAGGAGTCATGATATCCTGTGATAGTGATTTCCACAGTTTAATTACTTCTTTGTCTGTCCCAGATCTACTGCAATCAACTTTATAAGGTACCTGTCAATTCTAGTATTGTGGGAAAGGGTGGGAAAAGTACTTTCTCCAGCTCTTACTTTTGATGAAGGTTTATCATCCCACTACTTCATTATCTTTCCCCTAAACTAAACACTGTTTAGCCTTTCCTAATATTCTTTAATCATTATTTCATGCATGAAGGCCAACACAGACCAGCTAAAAAGTCTTTTACCCAGATCCCAGCCATTATTTTATAAATGTTTTACAAGGATGGAGGGGGAATTTTCAACATCTCTTTGTAATAGATCTGTCCTCTTTTTTCATCTAGGGAATGTAAGCACAATTAGACAATCTTCATTGTACAAGTCAAAAGCCGCTCAGCTTTGTATCAATGGAAAAGCCAGGGTGCGATGCATCCAAGCACTTTAGCTTTTCACAAACAATGTTAAACTGTCATTCCACTTAAGAATTAGAGGCTTTGCCACTCACTAAACTGAAAAGGCCCTTTCAATGCACTGAAAA